ATATAATTTTGCCTTGGACCATCTAAGCTGACTGACATCAACTTGCTATAATTTCTGTTTACATTACATCGCAATTCGATGACATTCTGGTGTCTGAGCCAGAGTGTCATCGAATTGCGATGTAATGTAAACAGAAATTATAGCAAGTTGATGTCAGTCAGCTTAGATGGTCCAAGCCAAAATTATATCGCATTTGAAGTTTCAAACTGAGTTAAAAATAGCGGAAGAAAAGCTGTAATTATACTTATTGTTACAATCCATCTAATAAAATGCAACATTTTTTTGTTTTAATGACAAAAATCAGCTATTTTCATGAGAACGATTTGTTAATTCCATCTCAATTTTTTTAATCTTTAATCGCAATAACGTAAAGTATTATTACACGCGAACCAATGGGTCAAATTTAAGAAACGACCCACTGTTAGAAAGCTGAATGGCTACGCTTTAAAATGAATGTAAACTTTAACGTTTTCGTCTATTATTTGTTTAGGAATTTACATTTCAGTCGAGGATTGCGCTTTTTTTGATACACCCTGTAAATCATAGATTTAAGCTGATGAACATGTATATGCATCACAGATTTAAGCTGACCGATCGACAGTGCGTCGCTTAAGAGTGTTCCGGCTTCCAGGCCTGGTGATAGACCGCCAATCACGTTGCTGTTACATGCGAACGTATTCGCAACGCAATGTGATTACTGAATGCCGAACAAGATTTCGTGTAAATCGTTCCGTCTATAACGTCGTCTTCATTTATTGTAAAAAGCGAATAAATTTAAAACACTTACTTTTGTATGGCGTTTATAAAGCTGGACTTTCCAACGCCAGAATCACCTGCTATGCCAATATTTTTATTTCAATATCTCTCTGATGCCTCCAATTTTGCTTTACAAATTATGTTTTCTATTCCAGATACGTTTATCTTGTTCAACATGTTTGGATGATTTTTATGTACATATTCTCCGTCATAGTTTTACAAGATGAGTTCACGCTAGTTTTAAATTTTCTAAAACCTTTGGCTCTAATAAAACTTACTTAGCCCAAGTTCAACTTGTGATTTAAAAGACAAACGCCATGAATTAATTAGCATAAACTTAATCCACGAGTCAAAGGTTGGGAGCTCTTCCGATCTGTAAATCAGTGTAAAGTTTTCCATAATCAGGTATTCACATGGTTTCCAACCTTCTTCGAGGCAAACACTACTTAGGGGGGAAATGAAAACATATTTTATTATTGTTTTATAAATTAAATTACAAAATTATAAGGAATAGACTCATTCTAAACCGAAGCAAGTTTTATAATATAATGTTATTGATCGAAATTCTCTTTACGTTTCGTTAATTTACCAAAATTCTTTATTTCTTCCTTAACAGTTCTTCATATTTTCCTAACAGTTCTTCATGTTACACTTTTAGTTTGGGCTTTCTCTTTTGCATACGTTGTGATAACGAAAAACTCTTTATACTAACATAAAACCTCATCAAAACAGAAATCTCTGCTGAAGCGAGTGCATGACGTTATTTCCCTACCGCAGCTGTTAATGAAAGCGTGGCTATCAGCCAATCAAATCGCATATACTGTAAAGATTATTTTACATAATAATATATACCGATTCCCAGTAAACAGTTTTCCAAGTAAAAATCTGGTGGCATGCAGTTGTTTAAACAAACATATATGATGGCTTGTAATTTTACAATATAAAAGTTATAGGTTTCACTATTCTTGCAATTGATGTATATGGAACTCCTTCCCACAGTTGTCTGCGGATGATTAGATTATGCAAAGATAGAGACAGACCATTTGATTTTTGTCTATACATTTCGAGAAATTAATGCCACTGACTTACACTAATTATTATAAGCCGGTTACAGACGATATGTGGCATTTTCATATGTGGCAATTGTTCTATTTGCTGTCTGTAGATCCAAGTGTGGACAACCAAAACCTATTAATATCCCAGCGGGCAAAATGACGTTTATCCAACGTTGAATCAACGTTGGAAATGACCTTCCAGACGTTGGATAGACGTTGAAAAAGGGTTGACTATGCAAATTGGATCGACGTTAATGTTTCGACGTTGAAACAACGTTGAAATTAGGTTGCCAATCTCGTCAACCATAATTCAACGTTGAATCCACGTTAAAACAACGTTGAGATTGGTTCACAAATCGACGTCGTACATTTAACCATGAATGAACGTTAATTCAACGTC